GCACAGAGAGTTCCATAATTGGCACCTTGGAAGATCTGAAAATATAAATTAATACCACTATACAAAACATAACTCTGAAAAGTCAAGGCATCGGACAATGAATTTAATGAATTTTTAATTTTTAAATAAAATGAAATCTGGATGTTTGCTGCTTAGAAATGCAACACCTTTTTTTCTTCTTTATTATAGCATTCTAAGTTGCCTTCCTAGTTATATACACATACCGGTACACTTTTTGTGCATATACACTTACCTTCTTTGTAGCAGGACTTGTTGACCAAACCAGGGTTATCTGCCAGTAGTGTATTGACCTCTACAACTTCTCCAGTCAAAGGGGAGTAAAGCTCACTGGCTGCCTTGACACTTTCCAGAGCTCCAAACTCATCTGTGAAAAGTAGAAAACAAACAAACATGTTTACATCATAGTTTGTTAATTATAAGAGCAACAAATCCAATCTATGGTTTACACTTTGACACCATTTTTGTAGCTGACATCTGACCAAATAGTTCTAAGGACATCCTTGGGTTGAGCAGGTGCCATTATGAGTTAATTACCTGCATCAGTTGTCAATGATTTATTTAAGCTTGGAAGGGTAAATAAAATATTTTTTTGATATAGCAAGTCTCCTTTTTAAGATCAGCGTATTACTGTAAATCTTGGAAAATAAGCATTAACAATTAGAAAAGTTTTATTATTATTGAGCTCATATGACTGGATAAGGCTAAAAATAAACTGACCACTTAGGTAAACTTTTGTTTAATGTAATTATTAAATGACAACTTCCTTAAATTTGATACACAAAGCAGTAAATGTTGAAACTGACCCCCCCCCCCACCACCCCACAAAAAATATATATATATATAAAAAACCCTGATACAATAGTTGTTATTGTTCACATTTCACAAAAACAACATTAGAGGAAACTTACCATTTTGTGCCAGTTGTGTTCCCACTTCAGGTAATCCACAGTAAACTACATCTCCCAGAGCTTCCTGCAAGTGCCCGAAAACAAGGGTGGATAGAAGTATTTGCCAAATACAAATTAAATAATAAAAATAATAAAAATCTCCTGTTTGTATACCCAGGCAGCTCGGTAAACTTACTTGTGCAAAGTCGCTGATCCCGACTGTGCCTATTCCGTTCTCTTCTACTCGAATCCATTCGTGTTTGTCTGTGAATTTAAGTGCTGTAACAAAAACCCAACAAACTCAGAACACGGACAGGACTGTTTAGTCTTTGAAACACACAAGATCGCTGTCAAATCCACATTTTTTTATTTTGTACTTTACCCTCCAACTACTAGCTGTAAATAAAACGCGTCCGTGAAGAAATACCTGCTGATGTTCGACTAGAAGAGAATAGCGTTCTTCCAAAATAAGGCTTAGAGGCCAGCTGTGAAGGACACATCAATGTCGAGCGGGTAAGTAAAGGCAAAACTGTGGAAAAGTTGGAAGAAAGGGAGCGGAACAGCCCACAGGCAGCCATTTCTGTCGCTTACTGATGAGAAAGAAGGTCGATTTATTCTTTGTTGCTCGTTAGGAGCAGCGGTGGCGTCCTGCTGCCACCTACTGGTCATTTTGGGTAAGTACACGCCGCTTGGTGCATTTTCTTCTCACAAATTGTAACAACTCAATATTTTTTGTAATTAAAGCACTTTTTGAAAGATCTAATACGTGTAAAAATAAATAAAATATAGAAACCACTTTTTAAAAGAAATATTAACTTAGGCACTTTTTTTGTGTGCAGACAATGTTCTTAATATGCACTTTAGTCACAACTGATGAAAAAAATATAACTCACTTCCAATTGATGCTTTCTAAATTAACACTTATTTTGAAATTCCATCCATCTCGTATAGAAATCATGTTTTTGTTTTAGAAAACTCGGACCTCAAAACAGAAAATTTCTCATATGTTTGACTTCCTGATTAAACATTTAAAGTTTTTAAATGTATTTTTCTGATAGTCTTAATACATTTCACTTTTATTTTGAAACTATTTTGCTTAAAATACATGAATGATGAATGAGAAGCGTCACTATTAGTACATTTATTATCTTATTTAGTAGAGGAAAAAATAGGAATGATCAAATCAGTTTCAGGAGTCTGTTGTACTAATTTTATATTAACAATTTCTTTATAAAACTATACAGAACTGAACATTCAGCAAAAGGATTTGAAATGATGAGCCAAAAATAACGTAAATTATTTATTAAGCAACACATTTCTTTATTCATACAAAACAATAAAATATATAAAGAAAATTCACTCTCATGCCAGGGAATTTTACTATTGCTTAAAATTGCATTAGGTAGGGGAAATGGCATGTTTAGAATAATAACAAAAAAAAATTATAATAAAGCAAATGTGTTTCACACGACCACACACACACAGGCACACACACAGGCACACACTCCCTTTGTCCTGTTCTGGCTTCATATACTATTTTGTAAAACAAAGTAAAATACAGAATAACTAAAAGTGTTGCCTCCTAAACCTGGGCTAAAAGCTACAAACATAAATAACAAATGCACATTTGTTTGGCTTTTATATTACACATCTTCAAGAGTCCATCCAGTGTCCACTTTTTGATTTTTTTCATACTGAAGATGAGGGAATACACAACAACATTGATAACAGTAAAAAAGAAGGGAAAAAAAAAAGAAAATCAGCTTTCTGTGGAGAAAGAGGTGAAAACAAACTCGTGTGTCTGTCTTTTATCCCTCCATCAGAGCTCACTGGAAGCCTGCTCGCTTCTGCTGACGAGCATGTAACAAGTCTGTTGGGTGCTTCCTGCTGGGGGGCGGTGCTATGCGCTGCTGGGTGGGTGCGAGTGCTAGCGGTCCAGTTGCAGAGGAGACAGAGTGGGGTCATGGGGGGCGGGGACGTCTTTAGTCTCTAAAGTCTCTCTCCTCACTGCAGGAAGGAACAGCTGGAGTTGGGAAAACCAAGAGGTTCATCTTGGTCGCCACCGTGTAGCACGGACACAACACACACGCTCTTTTTTTTTTGTACACACACTCCTGACACCTCAGTCAGCCAGACCCCGGACACCCTGCGCTGGATTTTAGGTGGTTTGTTTCTCCCCGTCGGCTTCCTGCTTCGTTCTGCGCAGGTTGCTCTTCATCTTCACAAACTCGGGGGTGTTCTCCTGCTCCTCTTCGATTTTCTGCTGCTCCAGTTCCAGCTGAACAATGGAAGAAATCGAAAACAAGCGATTATATTTAAGTCACCCCTAAAAACTGTGAAAAAATTTAAAAAAGCAAATATTTAGCTTTACCTGCTCTAGTTTCTGTTGCCTTTTCATGAGCTCGATCTCCAAGTCGCTCCTCTTCTTGTGCGCCTCCTGCTCCTCCTTCTGAGCCTTGATTACTTGCTCCCGCTTTCTCTTCTCCAGAACCTTCTGAAGCTCAGGTTTGTTCTGAGGAGCCAGACCCCTGCGCAAAAAAGACAAAAAAAAAAGTTATGTAAAAGGAAGGCTTAATGAACAACCTCAGAGTACAGGAGGTCACAGATTCATGGACAACAGAGGGCAACCATGACCTCATTCTGGTTTGACATGCATCTGGATTACACACTAATCCTTTCAGTTTTGGTTTTGAACCAATCCAAAACTATGTCACAGTTTTAAATCTGCACATGTGATGGTAGCCAAAAAAAAGTGGGTTAAAACGGTTTCATTTTTTAACCCATCCTAAAATACAAGATGCTGTTTGTCTCAGAGAAACTAGTTAGAAATTACACAACAGCCTTTGTTTTAGTGTTTCACATCTTTGTAAAATGTGAGATCTTCCTGCCAAGAGGAGCAAAGTTACATAATCCTCCAAACTTCACCAAATTACAAGGAATGCTGGAGGATGAGAGTGTGACTGGTGTGCTTAAAACAGAGAAGGAGGGAGGGAGGGGGTTGGAGTTGGTTAGAAAAACAGCAAAATCACAAAGCATTACATCACAAAGTGAGGCACAGGAGCATACCTAAGAGTAGAAGGCCACGCTTGGCTAAAACACACTAATTACATTTTACCAACCCTAATCAAGACTATCTGACTCTCCCTCCTGTCCTCGCAACTTGCATCTTTTACTGAAAACACAATGTTCCTACCTGCTCACAGCTCCTTCATTAAATGCATGATCAAATCCAGAGGATTACGTAACGCAGCTCAGAATGTTCTAAGATGCAGTGGGAGTTCATTTACAAGGCGCTGCTTTATGTAGAGTCACTGCTGGAGATAAATGCTCTGTTTTCGTGGCGCTGAAGCATTTATGAAAGCACTTAGCGGAATAATGAAGCGGAGGAGAAAGGTAAGGGAAGGTGCTGTCGCTGATTTTAAACTGACGTTTAAGAGAAACGCTGAAGTTGACGGGAATCAAGACGCCTCTCTTCTGTCAGGGTGGGCAGTGTTTACATAACCGTCCAATAAACAACTGTTTCACATGCACACCCTCTTACAAAATTGGGGGGCGGGGGGGGCGGCGTGGTACCCCACCCTCGGTCTCCTGGTGTCTGGATTTCTGACATTCTTCTCATATTCATGCCTTTGTGTGCGTGGGAAGGGTCACCAGCGCCAAGGTAGCAAAAGCAGAAAAGGGCCCTCAGCCAGAGACTGTTTTGTAATCTTGATTACATAACAGCTTTTTTTCTCCTCTTCATCCATCCATGCATCCATCCACCCACTAGGCCCCTCCCCTCCTCACGAGCATCACGATGACTAATCCAATATGCAGGCAGCGTTTCTTCCCATCAGTCAAGAATACAATCCAAACAACTCGATCCCCTTCCAAAGCTCACGAGATTTGTCCAAAGACCAACACTTAGTTAGTCTAGACAGCGAGCATCAACCTTCTGCTGCGTTCGAAAAGTCTAATTTTATTTTTATTTGCTTTTAAGAAGTTTATTTCACTGTGGCCTGTTTGACCATCGTTATTAAAGCCTCTCAGTCTTTGACCTGATAAAGATGGAGCACCGCTGCTGTGACGGAGCAGCTGTCAACATCGTGTGTTTTACATGGCTATTTATAGCTCGGGAACAAAGCTGCCCTCACAGTAAGGCGAGAGACGAAAACAAACATTTATCACGTGTGTGTTCACACTCACGCTGATGGCTGATCACATCACCTTAAAAGCTCCATAAAATGCTTCAGATCAGCATTATTTTGCGTATATTTCACCAGTTTTTCCACAGTTTTAGACATCAGGCCCAATGAATGCGTGATATTTTAAGCTGAGCAACGTTGCTGCTGGAGGTTGAAGAGGCCGGAGAGGTCAACCTCAGAGACAAAGTGCAGAAGCATCAGTACAGTTTGTACAGATGCAAGATAAAGACAACAGCTGCAACATCAACTGGATTTACGAATTCGCTTTTGGTGAAGGTTGAAACCAAATTAGCCTCGACAGATCAGCACAGTCTTTGTTTTTCCCTCTGCCTAGTTTTGAATAAAAGGCAATTTTTATTTGACCATAAACTAAAACTGCCTTTTATGGCTCAATAAATGAACAAATCTCTACCTTTAGAGTCATCTAATGCACATTCAAAGGGCTATATACGGATTTATATTAACCCACACAAACGTTGGGATTTTAATGGTTTGGTTTGTTTATAAGCAACAAACCATGATATAAGTTTGTATAACACTCATTATCTCAACCTTATGAAACATAAAATGGCATTAAAAGCAAACATTAGAAGCACAGAGTGGATCATCTCATCTTCTGACCTTTTTTGGTTCATAAGCAGTTCTCTGTGCAAATCCTGGTGGTTGCGGGAGGTCTTGACCGGATTGATCAGCTTCTTGGGTTTGATGAGCTCATCACAGTCTCCCTCCAGGTAGTCCGGTTCTGCCATGACACTCCTCCCCGGGGACAGCCCAAGACCAGGATCACACCGATCTGCATAAACGGAGAAAATAAAATAATAAATTTTCATGCGGTTTCTTCAAAATCATGGGTCCAAATGCAGATAAATCAAAGAAACACATTTAATTCTTTTCACAGGTTAATTAAGCTCATCAGCTATAATAAGAAACAATCAGCACAGAGAGTCTTTTCTTTGTTTGCAAACCTGAGAAAAATATATAAAACGATGCATTTTTCTGGCAGAAATGTTGTAGAAAAATAGTCTTAGTTAACCTCTAAATATTTAATAATTGTAGACTTAGCAAAGTTACAAAAACAGTAATATGTTAACTGATTTTTCAGCAGGAGTGTTTTGTACATAAGAAATTAAACTTCAAAATACTCAGTCAGTAGCCTGCTTTCTAACAAATTAGTACCAATAAACTCCTGTCAGACCATCACATAATCTTTCCTTCAGCAACTGTATAAATCTGAGCTTAAAATCAAATATTTCATTTCCTAAATGACCCAAATTTAAACCCCAACATGAGGATTTGCTTGATCCTCTGGCATAAGTTTTTAAATTGACTTCTGTAATCATTAGGGGGCTCAGTGATGAGGTTACATAATTGTTCCAGACTGAGTGAAGCGGAACATTTCATTCTCCTGTCATACGGCATAAGAAACATTTGCAAAATGACAGATTAATCAGGACAGCACAGCATCACACTTTAATATGCTCTGACACGAGTTCTTATGTAAAACACACACACACACATTGAGACAAACACACACACAGCATATCCATTTTTGTCCCAGCATTATCCAAAAATGATGCAATTTTATCCTCACACATTATTAAGCCACAGTATACAACACGTTTTCAGGATGGGAGCTGGAGTCAGCATTTGTTACCTACAAAAATAGTTTTGTGGGGGGTAGAGGGGAAATCATCTTTTCATTCATCAGTTTCCAAACAAAATGATACAACTGAACCATAAGTGCGAATTTTTTTTAAATTATTTTTACAAGTTCTCTCATTATTTTTTATTAATCACCAAGCATGTCCATCACAGGAACAGCCTTGTATGGAAGTTACAGCATGCTGTGAACTTGTTCTGAACAGACCGTTCCCGTGCCCTATTTCAGAAGCATCCAAAACAAAAACAAAAACAAAAAAACAAGCCATCCAACTACATTAACATATATCTGTCAAAAACAAAACATTTTGTCCTCTAAAGCATGCACAAAAAGACTGCAGAGTAGTTCATTATTTACTAGTAAATTCTTTAAAAAATGCCTAAAACCTTTTAGATTAAACTCACCCTGCAGATGAGGAAAGACGGGGTATCTGAACATTGTCGTCATCCTGGCTGTTGTGATTGGAAAATCTGTTTTCCGAGAAAATCGGTTAAAGCACGCGTGTCGTGTTTGTTCCTACGTTGCAGAGCCTGAAGGAGGAGATGGCTTTGTTCTGCACAGCTGTCTGTGGCTGAGCTGGTTGGAGTTCAAAGTCTCATTTATAGCGTCGCTCTCTCACTGCTCCCTCGCTCATCTGCTCCCTGCTGTCCTCACTTTCAATGGAAATCTCCAGCAATTACCCACCCCCTTGTCAAAAAGGAAACAGACTGTTCCCACAGCCATTAAAAAAACATGTTTGTAAGAACATTTTTATAAAATCTGGATTAGCTTACTTCAATATTTGCTGACATTTTGACACAGTTTTAATTAATGTCACTGCACATGCTCGTTATTTCAAGGCATCTGAACTGTTTAAAAGTCTGATAAGGACTAATTAGTCATTAGTACCAAAATTGTACGGCATGTGCATGCGTGTTCAAAACACCTACATTCAGCGAGTGGTGTAATGATTTAAAGAAACCACTAGAGGCTGATGTTTCACAGAAACTAGATGCTTGTTATGTAACAAAAGAAGTCCAAGTTGTAGAATAAAAGCAGAAAAGTTCCAATTAGACTAAATAATTATATGTAACTTATGTTGATTGAAATTATTGCCTTCATCTGTGTGTAATCATTTCAAATCCCCTGAATCCTAAAAGACAAACTAAAGCTATTATTTTGATGTATTTACAGCACATTAAGTCACCATATCTCCATTTTTAAGATTTTTTAAACTGAAAATCTGGTCCTCAAGGACATTACTGTTTAGTTTACTTATATTTATGCATGAACTGATCTCACATGACAGTAACGCAGTAATGGAAGTAGTTAAACTCGCCCAATAGATTGAGACTGCGAGAACATGATTAAAGTAAATGTTGACATAGCATTATTGTGCAGAATGGTTAATGAAGACCTGCAGCTGGTGTGTCCATCCCTCAGCGTTTTTTCTCTCTCCCGCCTCAATGCAATGGGAACTTAAAGACAGGCAGTGTTGTCACGGTGTCCGTTAGTCCAACACATCTGCTCCTACTTCCTCTGAGCCTCAGGGAGAGGGGAAGTAACATGGGGAGTTCAAAAGAAACCTGTACCCTCAAATTGGAAGAAAGCTTAAAACCAGTCTCATAATTGGTACTTTTACGTGCTTTATTGGATGTCTTTATTGGTTTTCCTTAAAAGTTACATGCCAAAACCCTTAGACAGCCAATGCAAAAAATAAAAGAAATACAAGCATTTAGTGCCTCAATATTTCTAACTTCAATTCATCAAAACACAAGTATTTGCAAGCATCCAAGAATCTATTTTCATTACAACTGTCTCAAAGACATTTGCATTGCTTCAGGTAAATCAGTATGTAGATAATAGCACAAAACTTTTAAGACTCTGAACTTTTAATAGGAATCAAGCCGTTATTGGTTTTGGAGACACACCCTCATTAGGAATGTCCATGAGAAAGGGTGCAGCATTTAAACGACTTGAAATGTCAAAGCCATTGAGGGATAAAATGAGATGATTGTACATAAAGACAAGAAAAAAAAAACTGGGTCAGAGCAGAGTATGAGAAACGAGAAAAGGGGACCGAGCTGAACACAGCTTCCCTCAGTTCATTCCAGCTCCTCCTTCATCCCTCTTGACCCATGTTCCACTGGGATCATTTGCAAAATGCCAAAATTTTAAAGTAGTGTAACAAGTGAAAGTTGGGAAATACTGTTAAGAGATAAGTCAAAAGCAAGAAGAAAATATATAAACTGATTTTCTGTAAGAAGACTCTTAAAGAGTAACTTACCCCAAAATTAACTTTTTTTTAGCTGATAAACTGTCTAGAATGTGTCTAAAATGTTATGTTTCTGTGCTAATTTTTTGTGCATATTTGTTCAAATCTGTAATATTTGGTCTAAAAACATGTTTTTGCTGCTCATATGGGTAGAGCAGTGGTACTGCAGGCTAATTTGCATATTGGTTAACGGCTCTCCTCTGTGACGTGTTTCTGCACAGTTTCGTCACAGCGGCTGTGTTCTGGTATAAAAGCCTCTCTCTAAGACACGCCCCTGCAGCAGTCAGAGGGTGGAACAGTTAGCAAGCTTAGCATGATCGTCTGTTGACCCACCCACACACACACACACACACACACACACAC